CAAGTGCCTCGGTAGCGCAGTAGGCAGCGCGTCAGTCTCATAATCTGAAGGTCGTGAGTTCGATCCTCACCCGGGGCACATTTTTTTTTTCTCTTATTTTTATCTGGTTTTATACTTTCTTCGTTATTTAAATCCTTCTGTAAATTAAAATATTTTTAAAATAAATTTTTTTTTAATATTTCTGTGTGTAATGCCCCTCTTTGACTTTTAAAAACTACTATTAAATCTTATGCTCCCTCTTATCTGTATTGCAACTCTAATGATCTTTTTGATGCAATTTCTATGCTCTTCCTTAAATCTAATGCTCCCTCCCTGTGTAATGCAACTTTCTGCTTCTTCTTATAGCTAATTAATCTTTTTAATGCTCCTCCCTATGTATAAAGTCTATGACTGTTATATTTAAAGCACATTTCTAATGCTCCTTCAATCTATAATGCAATTTCTATGCCTCTTTCCTTTGCTCTTCCTACGTACAATGTAAAATCTATGCTTCTTCTTATATCTAATGCATCCTTTCTATGTATAATGCAACTTCTAATGCTTCTCCTAAGATTCTAAAAATACTTTTTTATATCTAAAACAAGCAAAGTATCGTGATTAAACAGTAAAAAATAAAGAAAAGGTTATCGCATATGGTATATAATTTCCTTTATATTCTCCGTGAAGTTATGAAATTACTTATTAGATAAGCGCGATAAGTAATTTAAATAGTTACATAATACATTAATGTAATAAATTCCCTGTTTTTTTTTTTTTTAATTTACCTTTATACTTTTATCTAAAAACACTTAATGTATTTGATATTTATACACTTAAACTACATCTTTATCTGCTTAATTTAGCATTACTGACCCGGGGATTAAAATACAGTCGCTCTCCAAATCTGTTTATAGATTGAGGACACAGTTGGCCCTGCTCGTTGTGGTCCTACGCTAAACAAAACATAAAAGAGGCCCTTCTTCCTTCGTCAAATAATAACTGGCAATATGTATGCACTGCGCTCGATAACCGAACGTGGTCCCTCCAAGTGTGAGGCCCCCCTGTAGCTTGTTTATCTTACAGGCCAACGTAAATCTGGTTCTGATCGTTCTGAAACATTGTATTTTTTTATCTTTAATGCAACACTTGGGCGATCTGCCTAGGGGATGCCTTCCGGAAGGTCTTTTTTAAAGGGTAACTGGCACCTATTCGGGCGTTACAGACGTGGAGAAAACCCGGAAAACTCCACGTGGCCAGTGTTTGGGGAACGGAACCGCATGGCTAGTGGACCTGGTTATGAAGAATGCTGAAAAAGGACAATTATTGAGAGCTTAATAAATAAATATTTTTCATAAAATGTAATTTATGGCTTAAAATATAATAAATTTGTTAGAATAAACTACTGAATTAATGATTTTTATTAATATAAATACTTTAAGTAAGCTTTTTACTTCATATTTTAACCGTAAATTCTTAACACCGCGCAAAAATTTGAGTTAATATAATTTGCAATGTATTAATTCACATAATTTTTGTTTGGTAGAAAGAAAAGATTAATTTCTGCGGATATTTAATGGAAGAATTAGTGCAATTTAATCGAAATATTCTGAAGATCATCAAGATTATTGTTTAAACCTGTTGTTTTGTCGTCAAAACCGAGAATATTCTTGAAAATTTCAAATTTGCAAGCATCGAATAACATATATCTACAGTATCTATGAAAAATTTCCCATAAATCTCGAATCGTTTTGTTACTGAGTTTAAATAAAGACCATTTACGATTAATGACCATGCAAAGTATCCAAAGCATTATCATCTTTCAAGCCTGAGAAATGAGATGAGACCAGCCTTAAACTGCATTTTTTTACATAAAATACTAAAATTTGGGACTTTTCTTTGCACAGAACTTGATCCAAATGGCTTTGTGGCATCTCTATCCGGTCTGACACTATAATTTTGTGGAATTGAAATTTAATATACATTATCCATTTTTAAACTAATAAAATATAAGTGATAGAATGGTTTTTGATAGAGAAATCTTTACAAAACCTTGCAGCAATATATTGCTGCAAAAAAAAACGGAATAATTAAGGTTAAAATTATTTTAAAATTGCAAAATAAATGGTTGGGGGATAATAGAATAAACACGATTTCACTGATTTAATGTCATTGATCCGTTTTTTGCTTTCCTATGTTGGAAAATATTGATAAATCCTTATCAAGAACGATTTCTACATTTTCGAGTTTTGCAATTTTGCGATTTTCAAATCTTTGTTTATAAATCTAAATATTCATATATACTGAATATACATGTATGTAAATGACTTATGTTTGTATATTTATGACAGGTTTACGTCAATGTTTTGGTCTAAGCTAAAACTTTCAGGAGACCCAAAAATCATAGGTTCTTAATTATGGTTTATCCATGTTTTACTATAAACAGCACCAGATTTCCCATGAGTTGTGTAGTCTTATCCCATTAATCATCATTATTCTCAGAGTTGCAAAGCTTCGCTACTTTGTGCAAGTAACTACAGTTTACCAAACGTTACTTCTTGATATACAGATTAATTTCTTGAGGAAAAGTGATCATTTTCTCTTGGTAAATCCGATTTTTGCATCATGCAATGCAATTGCATCGCTCGAAATGTTTCGAACGTTCATAGCTTAGAGCCTCAAAGTATAAGGCAGCATGTTTTTACAACGATTGTAATTTGTTGGACGAAAAGATCCTCTTATATTTTATAGCTTATGGTCACAACAAGGCTAAATTCAATCCTGAATCAAGAGGTTCCAATCAATGAGATCTTCTAAAATAGCACTCTTAATAGGTTACCCCCTTAACGCCGTGCAATACGAAAACATCTACATGTGCAGCACGAATCTAAAGACCTTAAAATAGCTGCAATGACGATGACCCAAATGACATTGATGACGTTTGTGATGTCACAATCTCAATTGTATTTTATTGTTACGATTAGGTTACCGCATTTGGAGATGGTAAATGACCATTTTCATCCCTCAATGTCCATGCTTAAAATGTAAACGAATCTAATAATCAGTTTTCAGTTTAAATTGAATCAAATATTTGTATTGGAAGCAAGGTTGATTTTCAGTGACGTAGCTAATGACGTCGTTCACTTTCGAAACAATAGGTAACAAGAGAGTGAAGTAGATTAAATTTCTCGTAAACTTGGAATCAATTCGTGTTACTTTGATACTATGAGAATTTAAATAAAATAGACTTTTCTAAACACTAAAATATACATAAAACCAAGATTTTATACCTTAAACTAAAACTTAAAATGTAAAAATAAGAATAAAATAAAATTAAGGTTAATCCCTTTTAATCCAGCAAAAGTATAAAACCCTTCAATTATATATTTTAGGTAGCCTTAACGTATAAAAATTTGATTTTATACTCTAAGGCTCTTATATAAGTTAAACATGACGTTGGGTTATAAACAATATGTCATACATGTTCGTATTCACATTATTCATATGAAATCTGCATATGAGTTTGGTTTTCCTCTATTCTTAGGTCTTTTTCAGGCCCATTGTGGGGTTAGTCAGGTCATATGGTATTGAAAGACGGGCCTAACATATCCAGGACGTGCTATCGTGGGTTCTTTGACCACTCGAATTCGATTCCGTGCCATCAGAGCCTTAAAAACCATAAATATAAGTTATACTTTTAATGATGTTTTTGTACTAAGAGAACTTTCACAATTCAAAGTAAGCTACATGCTTACAATCCGTAATATGGATGTGTGCCATAATACATTCACCCAAACGATTAAGTTAGTATCCAGGTTTGTACATTGTGGATCCTTATTTTTAAAAATATTCCCATAGGAAAAGTGTGGTATATTTAAATTATCGATAATAAGGATAAAGGCTCAAGGACACTGTATGAAAATCCAAAATTCCCCTAAAATATATTATCCTAAGACTGTAGTAAATAACTTGTGTGCTGCATTCTGAAATTTTATTCTAATTTATGGAAAAATCCGGTATTGCAACGTATAGGATGCAAGTAAATCATTGATTATCCAAACTGGAGGACGATAGAGCAGTAGACTCCAGACTTTCGATTATATCCTATCGAAACCAAGGTCGTAGAAAGATTAATTTTATCACAGCCATTATAAGTATCGGTTGCAGGCGGCAGTTTGAAATACTTTTGCTATCAAACACGTTGAGTTTTCATATATTAAGACCTTAATTAAAAATTCCTAGCGGGAACAGCGTAATTAAAATTTCTTATGCAGTTTAGCATTAATTATGGAAGAGAACGGTAAAAGATTTCAAGTAATTTGCCAAAAAGCCAAAGAGCTCTTCAGTAAAACTTTAGATTTCTTCACAAAATTTACAAAGAATAAGGATGGTGAACAGGCAGTTCTTTCAGCAAATGAGACCACAATTCAAAACGATACATCAAACGAGGAACAAAAGTCTCTCTTAACTACAGGAGCATCATTCAGGAGTGAATTTCAAAAGTCGTTCGAACAGAGGATCCTTGCAACGAGGAGGAAAGATGACAAATATGGAAGTATAGCAGTAGCATTGCTCTGTCTGGTGAGAAGCAAAACAATCCTTTGTATACAATAGTTTTAGTTTTGTAAAATTAAATTCATCCACGATTCAATTCAATAACTAATTCCTCCGTGGATGATAATAGACATTCACAAAAATTAAGTGGGCACACGTGAAATCCTCATTGTGATCCACATCTCAATTACGTTAACATAAGTTACTTTAATTATGCTTATTTTTATATAATTATCTTTTATTTTAGTTTATAAAATTAAAGAAAGATCCCTGAAAAGGAAAATAAAATGCAAAATTTTTGGATAGATATATTGCTTTATTGCTTACTTAAGAATTTACAGGTTACAGATCAGTCTGTAACTCTCTCTGACTCTTTACAATTTGTTATATTAGATAAAAGTTTCTAATCTCTGATTATTCCTAACCAGATTTGAAGTTCTGTGAAAAATTTTAAAACTTACTACCAATAAATTTGAATAATGAGTATAAAAATTACATTGGTTTTATTGTATTGATGTGTACTGTGTAAAAAGCACAAAGATTTTGGTATAATGATAAAAGGTATCAACATAAATTAACTCATTAACTTGTCAGGGGGTCTTTAATACACTTCACTTATCATTCTCTCCTTATCATAAACTCTATTGTTAGTATGATAATAAACAAAATTAAAGCAGAAGGAAGGACCTACCAATGCTCTCATTTGTAGAATATATTTATTTAAAAAAAAAGAATTATCTTACAAGTTACCAAACAAGAAGCTAAATGAATGTTATCCCTCCTTCATGTCTTATGTGGTTCTATAGCTTATAGGTGCAAGCATAATACAATAAGGCCTACCATTAAAACTTGTTCTTGATGCAAATATAAAAAAAATAGAATTCCCCCATTTCTTATTCTTACTTGTAACAAGTGTTTGAAGTACCTTCCTTTGTTTTACTGAAATGAAAACAAAGCAGAAACGTGGTTCCAGCCCTCCTTTTGCTTTTAATTCCAGATTGAATCATTAATTACTAAATTCACTTAGTAAACATCCCATAAAAGACAAGTGAATTACCATAAGAAACATCTATAGAATATTTTATCCAATATTTTAGATGATTAGAGTTAATTATGATAAAATAAAATTACATTTTTTAAATAATCTTAATGATTTCAATATTCTTAATACTGTATTGTCTTATCATCAGATAAGACAGTAACAAGGATTAGTGTTGATATGAATAATTTAAGTATTAATTAGTTATGAAATGATCTTGAATCTGTTACTGCAGGAGTTCATCAACCCTGCCATTTTGATATTGATATAGAAGTAGGATATTGGTATCTATCCTTTAGATAAATGGTCAATCTTTGTTACTGTTTCACAATCACTATTAAATTATCTATAAATTAAGCTTAAGTTATTTATTTTTTTACTTTAAATCTTTACTTGTAATAATCACTGAATAGTTTTATATCAGGGTTCTTAAGTAACAATTTGATTTCTTTAAAAGTGCTTGTTTAAAATGGGTTAAACTCACTCGATATATTAATCACCATTTTCTCGTAAAATTCGAAGAATTTTATAAAGTTTCTCAGTAAATATCCGGCATTCAACGTACACAATTTATTTTAATAAACTATTTTTATAAACTACGTACCAATTTTTTGTAAAATGTACATATATTATAGTATGTTTTTAGTAACGAGTATTTAAATGTGAATATTTTGTTTTATTAATGGTCTTATTGTTCTATATTAAAAATANTAACAGGCTACAAGAGCAGCAGGGTTACTTTTATGTATTATATATTTGACATCACCAAAGACTTTTTCTCAAACAAATTTAAAGAATATTCATTTAAAAGGTACTTTTTTAAAATATTAAATAGAAAAATTTATTATATAAAATTCTAATTTTATAATTTATATATTTATCTTTTTAGTTATAAAGTTTGTTGTACTAATGTGTACTGCGGAATGTTCCATTGTATTTATTGTCAGCCTTTTATTAATATGTGGCATTTTGATGGTAAGATATTTTGTAATTTATTCACAATTTACAGAGACTTTTTATTCATTTTAAATGTATAAAGTGTCGTAAAACCATTATCAAAATGTTCTTCTCGAAAAAACAATCTTGCAAAAGATCTTTCCCATGCAGCGCTACATTTAGACTGACTGTACTATAATATATGAGGCCCTTCTACCAAGATATTAAGAAATTTTGAAGGCCCTAAGCTTTAGCGTCTTCTGACCGCTGAAGCTGTAGATCTAACTTGTTTAGTTTACGTGTAAATAAATCGCCATATAAGACTCACCAATGACTGTATAAATAAAAACCACTGAATGGTAATTGGTGATGGTTTGCGCCTCACCAATAGGCTGGCCATTTGTAATTTGTCAGGTCTTTTTCACGTGTTTTTCATTTAAATAGAACCAGTTTCCTCAATTACTCCAGAGGCTTCCTCCTTGACAGTCCGTTTAGTGTTGAGTTGCCTTGTTTCATCAATCCGATCCTTCTCCTTCCGAGGCCCGTTTTTCTTTACCAAATAATAGTAAATCTTTAACACGTCAGCTAGAGCAGCTAGCAATATGTGAGCCTTAAGTTGTAACTTGACTTCTCCCCTATAAGTTATTCCCCTTTTTACAGATGTAAATCCGGCGCAATATAAGTTCGCATTTCCTCTTCTACCAAATAACATTAATTAAAGCCTGGGCTTTGTAATGCCTAAACTATTGTTTGCTCAACCCATGCGTAAATCTGCTTCTATATTACTACAAATCGAGCATAAGTATTTAAAAATAAGACCACGTTATCGATTATATATGAATTTTTCTTCAGAAAAAGAAATACTTATTAATTCCATGGTTAACTTGGACCTTTTTGGAAACAGCCTGCTGCTTACTCGCTATAATACCTCTCATGATATTTGCAGTTAAAGGATTAGTAAGTGTATTTATTTTCATATAAAGTTTCAGATTTAAATTTATGCCCACTCTAAAAATAATTTTCAAAAATAGCCATGGTATCCTGTTGTCATTTGGGTATGTTTCGTAGTCCCTCTCATATCCTTGCACGTAAGTATGAATTTACAATTGGGAATTATCTAAAAGACTCGAATATTTCTAAAGAATTGATTATCTTCTTTTAGAGATCGTGTGCAAGCTTCGTTGCCAGCCATTATTATACCTTATCTGAAAGGAGGCATCTACCGTTAAGTGATATTATAATCGGAAAATACGGATCTTTAGTCTTGACTGATACATAGGGTTTCACGTAATCATTTGTTTTAATGAAACAACCAAGAACTATAACTTACTGTATTCATTTCCTGATATCTGTACATATTTTCAGAAAGTTTAAGGTAATTTATTGTACAAATGTACAATTTTTGTACATAGTTTCATTGTGTTTATTTTGTTTTTGCTTAAAATCAAATCTGATAGATTTGTTTATTTTTATCGATTTTCTGTATCAGAATATGTTTAATCTGTATTCAAATAAAAGTTTTTCAAAAAAATTGTTGATTATTTTTTGTGTATATTTATATTATTTAATGGATTTTACCTAATTGATCCTTGATGAACAATAGACCCTTTGGGCGAGATGTTTCAGGCTTTTGTCTCTCCTACTTACATAACATAAAATATGGCAGATGCAGAAAGAGGACCAATAGAAGTCATTTGATTGACCTCTCAGATACACAGAATTATAAAAATTTAGTCTTGATGCAAAAAACAACCTACAAAAGTGATCCAAAATTATTAGTCCATTGCCACGAAGATATAATTCGATTTAAATTCTAAATGGCCGAATGGATAAAACCACTAAACACTGCTTAGTCGGTTGCTGGTTCCTACATCACCACGCGGAGTTCTCCGAGTTTTCTTTATTGTCTAACACTTAAACAAGGGCTAGTTTCTTAATGAAAGCCCTCCGGGAAACACTACCTCTTTGGCAGATTTCTCGTGCGTTGCGTTATCTTAGCCCATCACTTCAAGTCAAATATCTAAGTTCATTGTAATACAAGTCAAAATGGCCCATATTTCACCATGCAAATCGTATTGACAACCGACTCCATATTTTGCAGCGTTCATTGCAAAATACAAATGAGTAATCTTTTTAAGTCTCTCACGGCTAAGCATTAACTAAATACTCTTTTAAGCGGGTTACACATACATTAAACCGGTTCAATTAAGTAATGTAGTGTTCTCTAACCCTCATTATACCAGCTAACTCAATTGCCAGTTAAACCATTGTAATGTGCGTAATTGCGGCCGTTTCTTTTTGACCGAAACAGTTTTTTGAGTGGTTTTACACCTGAACTCATAGTTATCCTTCCTCCTACTAGAAAATAAGAATCTAGATAAGCTTTAACGGTAAACCCGATCAATTCAAAAAACATTACTCTAGAATAATGGTTTCCGAATAAGACTCGAATCCGGATCCTGCTGTGGAAGCGCACCGCCTTTCTGTGCGGTCACACGAGCGGCTGACTGCAATTAAATAAATGCCAATTAAACGTAGTGTAAACAAAGAACACATAAAGTAAAAAACAATCATTATATATAAAAAATAGAAAATAAAACATTTTAGTCATCATGTCGACGTCTCTTTGGACCAACTATATCAGGCTTTTCTGCGCATGTGCTATTCTGGGA